AAAAGATTAATTAATGATGAGATATCTTTAACTGCTCCGCCCTCCCCAACACAGAAGGCATTTTTATTTTGCACAATGTTTTATTTTATTCTACTTTTGTTCCCAGCACTTTAAGAAGGCTAAAAGGTGGTGCACTGTAAACATTTTTTTTGTATGTTAATATTTTATAACTATGATAATAACCTCCATGGCTTTGAACCTCATCTTTCTTTTATTGCTGCTCTCAAACCGCCTGCAAACCAAATAGTCCGATTTAATGGGTTGAAACAGAACTTGCTTTCATGACAAAATTTGCACAATAATCTTTGTAGAACACACAACAACATCCTCACTTAGTGCACAAATCCCCCCAAAAATTGCACATGCAATTTAGAGCCTCTTAACTGAATAATATCTCAAAATATCTCAAATTAAGCTAATGCTGGGTTCAGAGGTTATACGGTGATGCTTTTAGACCAGATGTTGCTTTAATTTTGGTTGACTGCTGTAAATCTTTTGCATTTACATCTTTGCAGACATTTTTTCCCTTCTGATATTAACCCGCTCTTATTATTTGTGATGATCCAAATATGGCCGCATGGTGACAGACTTCCTCTCCATCATGTCTGCCAATACTTCGTTTGTTGCCATATTTCTGCACCTGACCTTCAATAGTGCTAAAAATTGTGAAAAATCAGCTGCAGTTTAATTTTATATTTGAAAAAAGCATTTTGCACGTGGTGAATATTTACATTTGCAAATCCTCCACCCATAAAGTTGTGAGGTTTGGTCATTAGAGGAGATCTGCATGTTGGTGAAGGAGCACATGTAGAAAAAGGTTTGCTTATCCTGCCTGCTGAACTGATCATGGAAATCTCTGTACATTCCTCATAGAGCCTCTCTATGTTTGCATGTGTTTTTAGACCTTATGAAGATCAGGGCCTATGCTTATATAATGCATGGATACGTTTGATCATGAGCGGATGTGTTTATTACATTGCAATGGTTTTATCAATGTCTCTGATCATTTCTGACTGCATACGTTGCAATTATTTTGCCGTTTTATTTATTTGACCTGTTAAAGGTATAGAGGACGATGTTTTATTTCTGGGTGGATCATCTCAATCAGTGGTCCTCCTAACTGTCAATCATCCTGGTGATATATTTACGTAAGGTAGTTCTATGTGCTCGTCCTGTTATCTATCCTACGCTGTTAGCTATCCTCTGCGCACTTTCAGGCGTATATCTGTGGTGAGCTACGGTTTCAGGCAGTTATTGAAGCTCACCTTTCTCACAGCGCTTCTTTGAAAATATCCGAGGTTTGTAAGAGAAAAAGCATCTACGAAGTGTATGTGAACAAAAGAAAGACCTCAGAAGAGGCAGATATATCCCAGAATGCTTTGCCCGGAGAGCTCTCCTTGCAAAGTATTATAGGAATTGCTGTCACAGCGTCCCGCTGTCGCCATAAGGCTGGTTTATACTCAGAAACCAGGTCATCTGCGTATTTGTCACAGTTAACGCAGATATGTTAGTTGTTATGCTAGTTTGTAGCTCTGTGCGACGGTCTCTTGGTTTGCACCCGAAGCAAAAACACGCAGCGCCACGGCCAGTCTTTGGAAAACACTCATGGGGGAACGGTGTGTCGTCCGGCGTTGGATGAGGGGTTGTAGACGGCGAACAAGCTCGTCAAACCGACATTAAGTTGTGGCGTGAAATAACATGTTCCCAGTGCATGTTGGACTCCGACAGGGCTGCCCTCAGTCACCGGTCCTGTTCATAACTTTTATGGACAGGATTTCTAGGCGCAGCCAAGGA